AAACATCTCCACTGCTGATCAGCTGTTCATGTCTGATGTTACAAAATATATTTGTCTACTACCTTTTATACACTAAATAAAAGTATCCAAACAATGCACTGGAGTTTGGTGAATGTATATATAAAAAAAAAATGTATACAGTATAAAAATATTTTAATGTGTTTTTTATATTTTAGGGTGCACATGCACAATGAAGCTCATACAGTGTCCTTAGACTTTTAACTGTTCACTTATTTTGTAAAGGGAAATACAGTATACCAATTTTGCACGTAATATTTATATTACATTCAGTCACTATTTAATCCTTAGATATTTTGGTAGGAATTTTTCAGTAGTCTGTTGGTTTAGAAAGAACATTTCTCTAGCCTTGAAACCCAAATCTATACACATTGACTAAAGCTAATAGTGTTTTGAATTTATATTGCTGCCCTGATAAATGTTGCTGTTTGAAAAGTTTATTAAGTATAAAAGGTCCCATATCCCCTAAGGAGAAATAGCGCACTGTTAAATGGGTTGAGTGTAAGTTTGTCTTATTTGTGAGATTGCATCAACCTATTGTTCAAGAAAGCTGAACTATCGGGAGCTTATTGAGCGGTTGATGCTTGACTGCTCTGCTTCTGAACAGTGAGTTGGATAATCTTAACTGATCCTGAAATAGAGAAGCTGGGTGCTGTATTACAATTCACACAGTTTTTACCTGTTTTCAACCTGTAAGTAAGAAATACATTTTCACGCCACATATGGAGTGCGCATGTTTTGCTGTGCTATGAAGATATAGGCCCTTAGCAGTTCACAGTGATACATCTCAGATTGCTTATGTTCATGTTGTTGTAAGAAAAACATAATGTAGTAAAAGTCATCCAGGGAAGTGCCAATGGGAAACACTGCTTATGTCAATGAGGCCTAGTGATGTTGTTGCTTGATAATATACATTAATATGTGATAGTACGGTGTCTTTGCTCTCTTAACATGGTATTTGTCCCATTTACGTAATAAAAAAGTGTCCCTGGATACACAACACTGAATTAATGGTGACGATGACAAACTGTAATAAGCACCAGCTGTAGTTCATCACAATCTGCCAGTGATATTCTGTTTTAATGCCCCTCCTCTTGTTCACACCATATTTCTTTGGCTCCCAGGCTGCGTGTGAGCTGCTGATATGAGGGGCGGGTGGTGTTGATTGGACGGTAGGTGGTTCTATTGTCACTGTGAGCACAATCGTCCATGTGTTTGTATCTCCACCAGGTGGTCAGAGAACATTGACAAATATGTCTGCAGTTAGTCATGTCCAGATTGTTCTCTTTAAAATCTCTAAATTGAATGTCTCTCATTTTCTTACTGTGGTCTTTCCAGTAGTTCTTCTCGATAGGGAACCTGTCAGCCATTAATGCCAAACCTAAATGCCAATGCACAGCAATATTGACAGGTGTGAATTGTTTCATGGCTGATGATCATTCGTGCCCAGCGCTGGCGCCGGTGAGTGGCACGTGTGGTACTGCTTGGCATGCAGGTGGCAGATGGGCTGTAATTAATGAGAACCTGTTAAACAGTGATATGTGATCCCACGCGGTAATTAGAAAACAGCAGCATGGAGCCAGGCGGAGTAATTAGTCCGTCAGGGCCGGGGCTCTCAGGTGTCAACCTTCCTAAAGGAGCTTTTAGCCAGGCAGAGACAACTAACATACATCATGCTTATTAAGATTGCTGAATGATGCAAGCACTTATTATATAGCTTTAATGCTAACAATTTAGAATAGACCTTAGGAATTTGACACGGATGAAAACGAGGTTGCGAGGGATGGACTTACAGTCTCTTACTAAGGTCTGTAAGGTTCTGTTTGTTAATGCACTAGGCATTATAAACTAAGAATGAACAACAGTATTTATAGCATTAATTGAGGTTTATGTTCATTTTCACGTTTTATTTTATTATTTGTAAAATTTAAATATGAATCATATTATACTCTTTTTTATTCTTTTTTTACTCTTACATATTGTACAGTATTATTATTATTATTATTATTATACTTTTTTAATGTTTCAAACACTACCATTCAAATGTTTTTGGTCAGTAAGATTTTTTTGCTTTTGATCAAAAATACAATAAAAACAGTAATACTGTGAAATATTTGTACAATTTTAAAAGATCTCTTTTCTATTTGGATGTTTTTAAAATGTAATTTATTCCTGTGCATGCTAAATTTGTCCTGAAAACTGCTTAATATTTTTGTGGGCACTGTGATGCATTGTTTTCAGGATTCTTTGATTCTTTTGTCACTTTATAAATATTTTCACTGTCACCGTTAATCATTTTAATCCATCATAGCTGAATAAAAGTACTGATTTCTTTAGAAAAAATCTTGCCCAAACTTTTGAACTGTAGTATTTACAGTATGTGTGGAAGTTAACATTAACACATAGGTTAAAATGCTGTAAACAAAAAAAAAAGTTTTTCATTACTGAAAGCAAATGGTTCAGATTTCATGTTTATACAGTTGTAGAAAACTGCTGCTAAAACAAAAGCCCAGACAACCTACAGAGAGCCTGTGAAGCAATTGGTGAAAACAGCATGTTGCAATTAAAGTTAAAGATTGAATTTGAGTCGCAGTTGTAGATTTGAAGCGCAGCAACTGAATTTGTCTTTTGATATTGCTCACTGCAAACTACAAAGCATTTGCTGAAAGGGACCATTTTCCCTCCTCTGTACTACCAGCAGAGTAAATTAGAGATAGACAAGAATCGTGCATTTCATTGGCCACGCTCAGCTTGCATTGAAAGGACAGCTGAAGAGTAGCCTATTAAGCTTTCCCTTATCACTCGGGTTCTGAATAACATATTTTCAATTTTTGAAAATCATTATTGCCTGTGTTTTAACCTGGTCCTCAGCCATCATTTGTTCTGTAATGTGTTTTCTCTCTGTAAAGTGATAGAGATGTCATCACTCCGCCTGAAGCTCGGGTTTGGTTTCATATTTGTCATCCTGCACAAGAAAAACATTCTGTTGTCAGTGATTAATTATGAAAATCGGAGAAGTCTGTTTCCCACAGCGAGCAACAACAAATGTGATGCTCTGTTCAAATCGCATTTTTATCATGCCATCTTTGAGACATAGATTCACATCGTTTCCTCTCTGAGCTCGTAACCTTTCAATGCCCTTTGGTCCACAAGACAGAACGCAACCTATTTCAGTCATTCAGCAATGGATCACCATTGTCATCTCTACAACGTCCGCACTTTATTAAGTATGGAGGAAATCAAGCGTGAGGCTTCCTGTGCACCTGAGCCAAGGACCCTCACAGCCCCAGGACGCTTGTGAACCTCCTCGTACATCAGCCTCTTAATCTTCCAGTTTGCTGGTAGCCTGAAAAACACTTATCACATTCATATCTCCCAGCGTCCCTCACACCAGCCCTCCCACATATCGTAAGTGTCAATCTGTGTCTGTATGATAGAGTTGAAATGACTGTCCAACTTTCACTTTCAGCTCCAATCATTCTCTCTTTGCTGACATGTCTGGTATTGCAAGGTTAATGTCCCGTCAGGTAGAGGGTCTCATTAGTAAATCACCGTGTTGGGGAGGTAAGGCCTCTCTTGATATACGGCTCAGTGTCCTAGTCTGTAATCTACCCGGGGTAGACCTGACAGCTTTAAATTCATTCTCTCACGCACAAACTTTGATTTAAAGCAGCCAGAATGTTTAACGTATTTCATCCTTCAGGACTGAAATCCCAGAAGTGTCAGCTGAGAAATAAAGAGAATTGCTTTTAATAGCGAGTTGGGGGAGAGGAACCAGAAGTTGTGGTTCTGCCAGCGGTGCAAAAAGAGAAAAAATGACCACGCTTGAGATCCATCAAGCTGCATGGGGCCGCATTGATAGGATGTGGTGTGGGGGAATTACGCAAAGATTGGTTTCTCTAGCTGACCATATGTCATTGGCCATGTATCAGCGTGGTCTACCGAGGAATTGTGGAAGAGGTAGTATATCAACACCCTGAGAAAAATAGCCCGATACTCTGAAGTGCGCTTGTGTTATTCATTTATTCATGTGAGCTGTTAGGGGCCGTCTCTCACAGTAATGAGTCTGGCCTCAGATGGTGAAATCAGCGTTAATTGTTTTGGTTGAAGTCATTGATTATTGAGTGCTTTAATTATTAGTCACATCTGTTCCTTTCGCTTTCCCCATGGATGAATAGTTCGGATCAATCACATTCGATCTTTCACGCTCCTACGTCAAGTCCCATAAACCACAATTGGTTTATTTTTGGTCTGATAATCTAAACAGACTCAGGTAATGATTATTCCATTCTGCACAATGGTTACGTTTGAAAAAAACAAGACTTTGTATGTCTTACAAATAAACGAAATAGCAGGATTGCAAATCAATCATATAGTCTAAAAAAAGGAGAACAACGTGTAAAAGAGAGAGAGAGATCTTGCACAGATATCGTGTACATGCAAAACCTGAAAAAATAAGGGAATTTTCAAATTGCCAAAAAGCAGAAAAGTAAAACTTTAAAAGTTGAAAAATTTTCTCTTTTATCTCTTTTTATAGTTGTGCTGAACTCTAGCATGCATCAACATATTATTATTATTAGTATCATTATTATTTTGCATACATGATATACAATAGTTCAAAATTTTGGAGATAATAAGATTTTTTTTTAGAAAGCATGCATTAAATTGTTCAAAAGTGACAGTAAGGACAATTATTTCAGACAAAAGACAATTAAGACAATTATAAAATATTTCAAATATATGCTGTTCTTTTGTGCTTTCTATTCATCAAAGAATACTGAAACGTCACAGTTTCAAAAAAATATGAAAATTCATGGACTTTTGTTGGCCAAAATATGTGGGAACCCTTTATGTGGAATCGTTCTGCGAAGCCTGTTTAATGAGATGAAAAATTGCATCCTACTGTTTTTTGTTTATTGGTAGGCTTAATATACCACCGTAACCTCTGAAACTGATAGTCTGTTCCATTCCTTTCTCCACAGATAACTTTCTTCATGCTGTTGTCTGCTGTGTGTGTGATGCTGAACCTCGCAGGAGCCATCCTTTCCTGTCAGAATGCCCAGTTGGTCAACTCTCTGGAGGACTGTCAGCTGGTGAGAGAGCCATGTCTGAAATCACTTCTTTGTTGTAAAGGAAACCTCAAATAGATTCTTATGTCCAAAATATTTTAGTGAAAATAAACCTGTCTTTTTTATCAGCCACTCACAAACTAGCCTGTCACTAAAGAATCAATCCATTGAGCAATTATAGCTCCCAGGAGCATCATTCATTAACACCATGCCCTTGTCAAGATCTCAGTAAATTAGCTCGACAACCAGTTGCTAATGCCGAGAGAATGAGAATGTCTGTCGGGACCCATTTTGCACGTCCTGTAATATTCTGTTGGAGCAGAAATAAATATTAACACCCACCACCTTTGTCCTCAATAAAACGGCTGTCTGATCGGCTACCGAAGCTCACAGGGGTTTTCTAGCAAAACAAATCATAATCATCAATTGTCTGGGGAGAGATTCTGTCCTCCTGTGATTGAAAGTGCAGCAGCTGAGTGAATGGGAGTGGGTGAGCATCACATATATTAGCCATGAGGTCCTGTCATGAGGTCACTTTTGCCTTTGCAAGAGAGGAACAAATTCTTAAAATGTTGTTAGAATATGAGAACACATACTGAATGTACAGTATTGTGGACTGAGTTTATTCTGTGTTCTTACTGTGTTACAGTTATCAATATGAAAGCTGGGTTACACTTTACTTGAAGGGGTGTGCATAAGACTGACATGACACCTTCATAATCATGACATGACACGTGTCATGAATATGAAGGTTTTTTATGCATGTTTATGACAACTGTCATTAAGTGTCATTCGCTCAGTTATGTAATTTTTAATGCAAAGATGACATTGTTTGAGATGTCTTTGTTATGGGCTATGGTTAGGGGTAAGGGTTGGGGTAGGGTTAGGTTAGGGTTAGGTCAAATAATGTCATATTTGCATTAAAAATGACATAACTGAGCGAATGACACTTAATGACAGTTGTCATTAACATGCATAAAACCTCCTTCATATTCATGACATGTGTCATGTCATGATTATGAAGGTGTCATGTCAGTCTTATGCACACCCCTTCAAGTAAAGTGTTACCGAAAGCTGTAAATAGACTGTAAATTGTAAAGCTAAAATATGAAATCTAAAATTCTATTCAGGTTCTATTATTTTTTATGGCAAATCATAATACCTCTAAATTGTTGTTTTTGATACTGAAGGATATCCTCAATGAATGGCACAGTATGTTTGTGTGCTGCCCATTGTGCTCTTTGAATGAAGGCTTATAAAGGAGATTAATACAGCAGTCAGGCTTTGTTGTGTTTTCTATTGAGGTTGATTTATCAGCTCTACAGTGGGTCCAATGCTGGCCCAGCGCAGCATAACAGCTCAGCACGGCTTCCCCCATTTCTGTTATCCAGAACTGGACACGCCTCTCCAGCTCTAAGACCATTTATCTGCCTGGTGTGGAAGCAATCAATAATTAAATGATCAGATGAGTTACAGTTTTCAGAACTGGTGGTAAATGAACATTACAAGTGTGTTCTTAGGATTTTTAAAAATAAACATAGGACTAAATCCACTGTATGTGAAACAAGTGCTGGAGTTTAGCTGAAGATCTTACAGTTATTAATTATTCCACATCCATATTTCTGCGTACAGTACATTAATCACCAGGTAATTCTTATTTGTTTGTTTCAAACACAATTAAATGCATGACTGGTTTTCAGTTTCTGGATGGAGGCTTTACATTTGTTTTAGCTTCATTCTAGTATCAGTGATCTGTTATGTGTGGGGCTTACATTTTCAACACAAACTTCTGTTTTAACATGCATACCATACAAATGACCATCAAAGGGGTTTTGGTATCTGTTTTGTATTTGTAGAATTAGTAGATTTTGTTTATATGTTTATATTTATTAAAACATGAAAAAGTTTAATGGCAAAGCTATTTTATATTTTTGAATTGAGGGATTCAACACTGAGTTAAATAATGTCTATTCAGTTCAGAGGTAATTAGAAACTAAAAGAAACTGTCTTGTGTGTGCAGTCAGTTGGAACACACTTTCATGATAAAATAAAAAAATATATAAATTGCTTTATAAATAATGATCAGATGTTTTTGAGATGAATGCACAGTGAAAGTGTTGATGGCTCTTTGAAACTGAACCTGAAATGCTGTAATGATTCATCTTACAAAGCATGTCACAATGTGGCATGAGCTCAATAGACTGAATATGTCATACAGATGAAATATTCAGGTGATTTCAATCATTTTGTCTACTGTGAAGAACTCACTGTGGTTGATATGAAATCATACATTCATGTAATCAAATATAAATGATCGCACTTTTTCTCCTAGCAATGAAAAGAAGCTTAAATTGTGACATTTTGTGGTATGTGAAATCAGTGGGAAATGGTCAAATTTTCATCCAATTTATTTTATTTATTTATTTATATATTGATTTTATGACTCTTTTCTTTTCTCTTTAAGCAAGCGGAAGCCAGTGGTGATTAGATTTCACCAGGCATTTGAAGTCTCACTCAATCTACAGTGGGGAGTTTGTCTCACAAGATACTAATTTTAAAAAATTAATAAGAATTAATAACATGGAGTGCTTTCTATTGTCCTCTCCTTAAACAGGCCCTTCATAATCCTCCAGTAATTCTCCATAATTGAACAGAAACAAAACGCTGTCTTAATCACCTGTCGTCATGGAAACATGACATTGAGAACCCAATGGCATTTCTCACCTGGTGCCGTTGTGCAAAAACAGGTCAGGTAATTATCCCTCCCTTTGTCTACAGGTTCAGACCAGGCTAAATACAGACTTCTGTCTCCATCAGTCTCTTCTCCACCTGATTTAGGGATTAGCATGTTGGATTAAGCTTTCACAAATATGCAGCTACTTTTTGTGTAAAAAAAAGTTGTTTGGGACAAAAATTGTTAAACGTGTTGTTCACATTGAAAAAGATTTGAATTTAATTTGTGTATTTTATAAATATGACCCTGTCTGCTAGCTGCCAGCTACACTATTAACATCTGTCATCTATGATAACTTTTAACCATCAAGTGTAAATTCAATGGCATCAAGACCGCAGAAGAATTTGGACGTACCACAAAATTAGTTTTTGTTGACAATTTCTCAAGGGGTAATATGATCCTGCTTCTCTCAGGCAGACAGGGAACACTATTTCACGTCTGCTGAACAAGTGTCATAACTGTATCATTCTTGTGATGGAAGGAATTTAGTGTGTTACCATTGTCCCTGGCCTGCCCTGTCTACGTGTTTGTTTTCTCCTTGAGCATTCACACAATTTATTGCCCATTTTATGCAGAAATAAACATTTGACTTGCATGAAACTGAAATCAGTTTGTTTCTGTCCTTCTGCAGATCAAATTTGACAGTGATGGTGTGTGTGTCTGCTGTGAGCTCGAGCGCCTGAGATCCACCTGTAATAATCTGGGAGATACGCTTAAACTCAACCCGCTGAGGGACTGCAACACCATACGTCTCCGCCTGAAGGTATCATTGTGTGTGTGTGTGTGTGTGTGTGTGTGTGTGTGTGTGTGTGTGTGTGTGTGTGTGTGTTTGTTAAATCCTGGTATCTGTATCTTTTAACAAAGTAAATGAGATGAGATATGATGTTTGGAATTGATTTCAGAACATCATCAAAATAGCCAGCTAATTTTCTGTACATTCTTTAATAGCCTCTTCTATCAATTTGATATTCCAGTATTAAGATTTTTTTTAACATTCTAATTAGACTTTTTGCTAATTTGCCTCAGTTAATGAATATTTGATTAGACAAGTAAATGAGGACAATTAAATACATTAGACATGTAAATTATGATTATTTTGATGATACACAATGTTTTTGCATTTTCATTAGGTTTGAAAGCATGCATATATTGTTTGAAAATCTCTAATCTTATTTAATTAACCAGATTAAAAAGTCTTTAAGAATAAAGCAAATGGTAGTGCCACTAGAGAAAACAGTCTAGTACCCCTCAGTTATATTCCTTAAAAGGAGAAGTTTATGTAGACAACATCTTGACAATTAAGGGGCCTTCTTAGGGACTGTACTGTACATTACCATTCAAAAGGTTGGGGTAAGTAAGACTTTTTTGTTATTATTCTCATCAGGGCTGAATTTATTTGCTGAAAAATATGGTAAAAACAATAATTTTGTAAAATATTATTACAATTTTAATAACTGTGATTCCTGTGATGGAAAAGCTAATTTTTCAGCAGCCATTACTCCAGTCTGCAGAGTGACATGATCAGTCAGAAATTATTTTAAAAAAATGCTAATTTGGTGCTATTTGGAAGTATTATCAATGTTGAAAACGATTGTGCTGATTAATATTTTTGTTGAAACCATGCTACATTATTTTTAAAAAGTTTACTTTATAAATAGAAAGTCCCAAAGAACAGTGCTTATTTGAAATAAAAATCTTTTGTAACATTATAAATATCTTTAGTGTCACAATTAATCAGTTTAATACAATAAAAGTATTTTCTGACTGACCCCAAGTGTTTGAACGGTAGTGTACACTGTATATAATTAAGGACTTTATACACACTCTAAATAACGGAGAGCAGAAACTGAATGGATTGCACTGTAGAGTAAAAGAAGAGATTTGGTAGTAATCTGTGTAAAAATCTGCAAGTTCAGACCCAGGTAGGGATGATGTAAAACTACAAGAGATTTTAAGACCTCAATCTTCTCTGGCACCATTATACCTGTAGGCAAGCACTTAATCTCAAGTCACTCCAAGGGTATTGTCCCTGCAGAAACGGCACTGTAAGTCACCTTGGATGAAAAGTGCCTTCAGTGTTATGAATATGTAGTGTTCATTTAGTAAATTAACATGGCTCGCATTGCAATCCTACAGTTTTTGATTTTATGTTTTTTTTTTTTTTTCTGGGATTGTGGTATTCTGTATATACAGAGACCTTTTAATGGTTTTGGATTGTACTCTTGTTCTGCTATTTGGTTTTAAATGTTGTTTTTGAGAACCAAGAATTTTTGCATTATATTTTTAAGAAATGCATTTGTAAAATATCATACTTATAGCCTGGAGAAGTATTTTTTGGCTCTGCTCCCATGCACATTTGCTGGGTTCCGCCAGGGATTTCTCCATTTTCACTTTTCGTTTGACTTTTAGAGAGTATTTGAACCATTTAGCAGAGCAAGAATTACACGCTATTCCCGCAAACGTCTGCCTTATTGGACACGTCTCTTCGTGTTGCACTGTAGGTCTCTCTCTAATATGCAGATGAGACTCAGTCATCATTAGTTATGCATCTTCAATTAGCGCTCGCCGCTGGTTCCCTTTCCAGTGTCTAAGCAATTCACTCATGCTAGCCATGATCCCGGCGCATTTGGCAGCTTTTGAAATGGTTTGTGGTAATGTGAGGCTTCCACAAATTTACTTATACAAAGCAATTGCCACTCTTTATGAAATCGAGAAAAACACTTGCTTGTAAATACTTGATTATAAATGCTTCTTTACATGTTTTCATCATTTCATACTTAGAAAAACACACAGTAAGTCTTCTTTTTCTGTACAGATGATGTATTTGTAAGTCTTTGTGTTTTTGTGCCTTCATAAACGTAATGTCTCAGTTCAGATGATTTGTATTTTTTTTAAGTGTGCTGATTAATTCTACAGTGTAAATTACAGTGAAACTAGCTTTACCTTACTGAGAGTGAAAACAGCTGGTTACACACAATTTCCTGCATGAATTGAAAGTAAAAATAGATTATATCTGTTATTTCAGTAGAATTATAAACTATTATAATCTTTCAATTTAGCTTAAGTTTTAATAATTTTGTCGTGCCTTTGTCATTTATATTAGTGTTTTTATATATATTTCTATGAAGCATTATTTTTGTTTTACTTTTAATTTTAGTTATTTTACTACTTCAACTTAAACTTATTTCATACAGTTAGTTGTCAATGCAACATTCCTAGTTTTCATTTAAGTTAGTTTTTCTTCTAATATTTATATTTGTTTTATTTTATCTTTATTTTAATTACTGAAAACCATAATTTTTAATTAACAATAGCAACACTGGACTATATAAATGAATTTCCTCAGCCAGCCTTTCACATTGCCAAATTATAAAAATATCACACACAAAGAGAATGGCAAACCCGTATTATTTGACTGTTGATGATCTATATGATATCGGTAGCACTTACTCAGATGGAGTTCTGAAGCATCAATAAGATTTATACATTTTAATGCTCTTATTGATGTCTGAAGGTTTCCTGTCTTCTCATGGCCAGTTAGGTCAACTGAGATGCCTATAAAGACCATCAGTATAATTAATGTTATGACTCATTGGCATATCACATCATGTGGCTCCCTCATTGTAAGGGCTATTACATCCCACTGGTGTGTTTCATAATGACACACTCGTTTTCCTTCAGGACTCATTTGAGGTATAATACCTTAAGGTGTTTGTCAGTGTCAGTACTATCATGTCAGTTTGCAGTACAGCAACCACTCAGGTAACTGGTTTAGACCCTCATCAATATTACGAGAATGCAAAAAATGGTTCCATGTCCCATCAGCTGGAGGAATGTATTATCAGAATGAAGGTGGTGCGCTACAGGCATGCACTTTCATTGCTCTTTTTTGTTCTGCTTGTCGTCAGGGAGACAAGTGTTAGCACTGCTGGCTCAAAATGAGAAGAGCAGGTGTTTCTTGGTGGAGCTGACCTAGTACCTCTGTTAGATTTGCTGGAACACAACCGCACGGGCTAGTTCTGCATCCTACCAGAGTTAGTCCAGTCATAACATTAGTTTGTTGTCTAGATTCATAGGTATTGCCTCGATCTGTTTGTTTACCGCTTTTTGCCACTGCCACTGAATCTACAGCACAACAACAGAAATCATATTTTACCCAGTGTGAGTTTAATGTCTGAATAGAATATAGTGAGATAAAAACACTGTGAATTGGAAAATACATCTAGGCTAGAAACACTTCTCTCTATTGAGTAGTACTCGCAAGCTGCATGCAAAGACAAATGTACTTGCGTAACAAGTGTAAGTTCAATTGATGAGCAAATGACTCTTCTTTTAAAGGGGTCATATGATGCGATTTCAAGTTTTCCTTTCTCTTTGGAGTGTTACAAGCTGTTCGTGAATAGTTAAGATCCCTGAAGTTGCAAAGACTGAAGTCTCAAAACCAAAGAGATATTCTTTATCAAAGTTAAGACTCTGCCACACCCCCCTAAAACGGCTCGTTCTAACACGCCCCCACATATTGAAAAATAATGTGTTTTTTGAACATTAAAGCATGTCAACATATTCTGTTACACCAAATACACAAAATAATGATCTTTAAAAAAGCATCATATGACCCCTTTAAAGAATTGTTCAAAAAGACTTTGAATCAGTTTGATGAATCGTTCACTTAATATACTCATTGAATCAGAGTCTTTTCTGAATCAACATCTGCACTTTCAGAATAGCATGTTAGCATTATCATTAGTGATGTCTGTTTTGAAATGCAGCCAGTTCTGTGTTCTGGTGTAGTATGGTATTATTGAATTATATATTGGTATTTTATTTAAAACATTTTAAAAATGATATAAAAAAGATTTAAATTAGACCAAAAAACTACAAAAATGCATTAGAGTCACTTCTTTCCAGAAGTGACTTTTTTTTTGTGTGCATTTGTATAAACACATCCTCCACCCCCAAAGAGGGGGTCTTGGCCTTTTCGGGAGGGTTAGATGACTGTACAGTCATGTAGAAGTGGTTAGGCCTGTCCAGTCCTCTTAGGATGGGCTCCTTTCACCTAAAGGGCTTGTGCATGTTTAGGAATTCAACATTTTCCTTGAGGACATCACTGGGTCACATACATTCCATCTTGTCACAACGAGAGATCAGACAGAGCTCTGATAGCAGGTGTGTGTGATGGGCTGTCGTATAAACTGAATGTACTCAGTATGGTAGAATATCAAACATTGCCAGTGACTTCCTTTGGTTTTTATTTCAGTGATCTCTTTCTCCTAATGACTCACTATCCACAGTGGCTACATGCTGTATTCTGTTAGTGTCATTGCTTTCTTCAACCGCTCCTGCTTAGGTTAAAGGGATAGTTTTTCACCCAAAAATGAAAATTCTGTCACTCACCCTCATGTTGTTACAAACCAGTAAGACCTTTGTTCATCTTCAAAATGTGCGATGCATGCATGTGTTTTCCTCTGCATGTAAACAAGGCGCAGCGCATGCGTGTTCTACGTCAGCAGCACCACATGCATGTTGTTTATGTGCAGGAAGGCACACATATGCATCGTGATACTCTCCATAATGGCGGAAGACGGTAACTCGCAGGAGAATAATTGTTGAATAAAGTTGTTATTTTTGTTTTCTTTGCACACAAAAAGTATTCTCGTAGCGTCATAAAATTACAGTTGAACCACTGATGTCACATGGACCATTTTAACAATGTCCTTACTATGTTTCTGTGCCTTGATCGTGGAAGTACCCTTAATGTCTATGGAGGGTCAGAGAGCTCTCAGATTTCATCAAAAATATCTTAATTTGTGTCCTGAAGATGAACGAAGGTCTTATGGGTTTGGAACGACATGAGGGTGAGTAGCTAATGACAGAATTTTCATTTTTGGGTGAACTACCCCTTTAATGTGTTACTGTTATGCTATATGATATATGTTATATATATATATAGTGGCGGGACGACCAAACGACAGACACAGTGGGTGTGGCGTCAGGCCTCGGGTCTGAATACTTTCCGTACCCACTGTATATATATATATATATATATGTGTGTGTGTGTGTGTGTGTGTGTGTGTGTGTGTGTGTGTTATATATGTCATTTTTTACTTGTATATATTATATATGGGTGGAAGTGTACATGTTATATTTTGTGGGAGTTTATAAGCAAAGTGTTCATAAGGTTGTGTCATTTTATTACATTTTCATACATTCTTATAGAACATTTTTACACTTGAAATTTCATTTAGTTTGTCATTTTTTAAATCAATATTTTTGTACTAATTTAGAAAGTTCCTGTAAAAATGTACATCAAAAGCACTGTAGCAATAGACATTGTAACTGAAATGTACAGAATCAAATCAGATCAAATGAATCAGGATCAAGTCAAACTGAATCAGAATGTGGGAATGAAAGGAGTCATTGAATGGGAATGGATTTTTAAGGCTGCACAAGGACTTTCCCCATTCCACCTTTTAGTTCAGCTTTTTGTGCTTATCTTTTGCAGAACGATAATGCAATGCAAAAGTCCCAATTTTGTGACACCATTATCCCTCTTATCCATTATGTCATAGCCACTCTCCCTCTTCCACACATTTGTTCTTTCCTGACTGTTGTTTTTACATGGCTTTCTCGCTCTGACAAACAGAACAATAAATGTTCGTGCCAGGCTGAGGTTTTTGCAAAGAAACAATTGCCACTCGCGTTTATTTTCTGTCTGTCTTTCTCTCACTCTCCTTCTGTCCTTCCGTGTCTCTTTCTCTTTGATTCACACCTTCTTGTCCTCTCTCTTCTTATCCCTGTCTCTCCATTTCTCTCTCTATCTCCCAGGAGTTGCTTTTCAGCGTGTGTGCACTGAATGTTATCTCCACCATTGTGTGTGCTCTGGCCACAGCCGTATGCTGTATGCAAATGGTTTCTACTGATTTACTACAGATGGTAAGTGTGATCCATACCACAATGTGTGTGTGTCTTTCTGAGTGTGTTAATGCACATTACATCATGGAGATAAGATCAGACGATCAAGACAAGGGAAAATGTAATAGTATAATTAGCGAAATGCCAGAGAAATAGTCTATATTATGTACTTGTAACCATCAAGAGAAAAGGCAATTTAATCAGATTTCACTAAGTGCATCTTACACTGGCCTAAATAATGTTTTTAATTTAGCATAATTCAAGAGCAATATGAACAAACCATTAAATATATCCTGTGACTTAGTCTTCAGACATGAATTGCGAATGGATTTTCATACCCTTTCCCAAGAGAAACCTGATTTACTTAAAATAATCAGTTTAGAAATTAATGTTAATTTTTGGATCTTCCTATCCTTTTTTTCTCTTTTCAACGATGGTCATAACAGAGTGGTCTTTGTAAAATGAGTTGACTTTAATTATAGTAAGGAAACCCATTGCTTTTGTAATATGACAGTAAATAAGCTAAACTGAAAAATATTTGTCAGGCATATCTGAAGTATCTGAGTTGCAGAGACCTCAGTTATGTGAACATATATTTTCACTATAGTTAAAGGGATAGTTCACCCAAAAATGAAAATTCTGTTTCATTTTCTGACCCTCTTGTCATTCCAAACTTGTATGAATTTCTTTTTATTGCGGAACACAAAACAAGATATTTTGAATAATGCTGTCAACCAAACAGTTTCAGTTCCCATTGACTTCCACTGTACTTTTTGTCCATATCATGGAAGTCATGGAAACAAAACTGTTTGGTTTCCAACATTCCTCAAAATATCTTCTTTTATGTTCCATGGAGAATAGAAAGTCATACAGGATTGGAACAACACAAGGGTGAGTAAAGCCGGGCTCACACTACAGGAATTTTAAAATCCTAACCGATTATGCACACACACACATAAGGAGAACCTTTGCAGATTATCTTCCCTCAAATCTTAAACATGCACACACTACAAGATTTTAACATCGTGGCACATCACACACTACAAGATATTATTAAGATTATCATGCCAGAGGGAGCGCCTCACGTGATCTCACGCAGCAGATCGTCATTGATATTTCAGTGATGTTTACATATGTTAGCTAGCCTGCTAGCTGCTTTCTACACTCACCCGGTACATTCAAAACTGAGGTGATTTGACTCCAGCACTTCTCTTTCTCCTTACGGTTGTGATACGTTTTCCACACATTATACAGACAGTCGTGTTACTATAAAACGTCAAGAAGCAGTTTCTTCCGTCTCCACTATCTAACAGGGCCTTACAGCAGCTGTTTTGCGGTCCTGCATTGGCTATTGTGAAAGTACTGATGTAATCATATAGCCGTCATCATCCCAATTTAAATCCTAAATATCAAACATGTTTGATATGATCGGGGCGGCCCCGATTTGTGTGCGAGCAGATCGGGAGGTGCAAGATTCGATCGGTGAATGCCTCACATTAGCAGATAATCCGCGCCGAACATCTTGACCGATCGAGGGGCTCGACAAGATTTTTGCTCAGATTCTCGGGAGGGGGCTAAATCGGGCTAAAAATCCTATAGTGTGAGCCAGGCTTAAATGATGATAAAATTTATTTATATTTTTGTGTGGCCTTTAAGTATACTTACATACTTCCTTACTTTATGGGTTAAGTAAAGTCAATTAAATTTTTCATTGTTCTGATACCTACTATATCAGCCTGGAAATTACATCACACAAAATCTAAGGTTTATGGTTATCACTGGCAAAATAAAAACCTATTCGCAGGCACATTTGTCACCAAAGATTAATTTGTTACATTAATTCTGCATCCAAAGACTTATAATCACCTTTTCTTTTATGCAGAGTAAAACAGCTTTCTCTGAGCCATTGATGCTATGACAAGAGTCCTCATCTCATTTGGTTGTACAACAAGCATATATTTCAGAAGTACTATTCTTTTCTTAAGCGTGAGATTACGAGGACGAGACCACAGACGTTACAATACTCGCTCCCTTTTGGTGGATCTGTCTTTTTCAGCCAGCCTGTTTTATGCGAGAGAAAATAAACTTGTGGGACATAAAGTTTTAATGTTCTTTAAGAGCGGGCTTTGTGCGGTTTATGGGCACTGCAGTAAATTGCACAACCTCGTGGATGGCTGCAGCAGAGGCATGGGCACAGGGAGATGAATTGAGATGAGTTATATTAGCATGGCTGCGGCTCTGTGAACGAGTTCATCCCACCCATCCCCCCTCCTCCCTACTACCCCCCAGAGTACACCTGCACACCTGTGATGGAGGGCCAGAGGTAAAGCCGCACATACAGACACACAGCTCACATCCTAGCTGACATGAAATGACCTAATATTTGCACTATATCTGAGAAACCGTTTGATCCCAGATTGCTGTGCTCTGAGAAAAAGGTGCACTTTTAAATAAATTGATTCGCAGAGATTTGTGAAATTGCCCTATGGAATGATTATGCAAAACATCCATTCTTTTTTTTTAATGGGAATTTGGACCTATCCACCGCCATGTTGTTTAAGTGCAGGTCTTAATGCAAACTGCTCTGACAATCCACATTATGGAGCACCAGTGTCCATGGCCTGGTGTAAATCCACCATTGATTTCTCTGTCTTGCACTGTGAGACACTCTGCCCACCATCCCATCATAAAAAACGTGCTGATGAGGCTGTTTAGCCCGCAGCCACACTAATGTGTCAACAAAGCAGTAAATACATAGAGAGCAAGAGCAGCCCAACATACACACTGGCTGCTTCAAAGCACAATCAAAGTCAGGATGTGGTAATACACAAAGAAACATGAAAAAAACACAGATTCCTCCCCTCCTTTATGACAGAGGGAGTCTGGTTAATTAAAAGAATGGGATGTATAAACTGGCTGAGATAAAGAGGAAATGGTTTCATTTTCCACAGTTCCTAAATGGCCTCACATATTTTTTGCAGCTATCATCCTCACCAATATAATACAGCCAAATTTGTTGAAGCATTGATTCAGTGTTGTAATCATGTTTTACTATCATCTCTGTCCATTAGAGGGTTGCATCTGGACTTTCCACACTCTCCCTTCAGTGCTATTTATGGGGTGCCTATAAACAGCCCTGGGGCTTTATATCCATCTGAGCTGCCACCACCCTATGAATCTGTCGTGGGACAGACACCTGCCAGCCAGGTAAGAGCTGACTGTCAGTTCTGTGTCCCAGTTTCTCCCATGTTTTGATTGTTAATTGATTTCAGGTGTGTCCCAATTAGTTCCTTGTTATTTAAGCCCTGTGTTTTCCTGAGTTCTTCGTCTTGTCTTAAACGTCAACTCCATGTGCAACGTGTGTGTTCCTACCTGTCCTGTGTTCCCTGTGGTTTGGATTAAATAAAACTTATTATTAGTAGACTAGTTATTCGGAAATCGAGGCCGTTTTCTTGTCAAGCACGCTGGCCGTTCCACAGTCAAGCCCGCTGGCCAATTCACTCCCAAGCCCTCAGCTGACAGCAGCAGTCTCCTTCACCTCTGCTCATAAAAGGAGAATGCGGAGGAAGAGACTGTAGGCTCCAGCCCCTGAGTCCGCTCCAGTGTCGACTCCAGCCTCTGAGTCCGCTCCAGTGTCGGCTCCAGCCCCTGAGTACGCTCCTGAAAGGGCTCCTGTCCCCACGTCAAGCCCAGAGAGGGCTTCAGTTCCCACGTCCAGCCCACAGAGGGCTCCTGTTCCCACGTCAAGCCCAGGAAGGGCCACAGGTCCCGCGTCAGGCCCACAGAGGGCCTCAGGGGCCGATATTTTCCCCAAGGATTTTTTTGGGGAGGGTTGTAGGGCTCCGGCCGTAGAGACCGGGCTGAGTGCCAAGGCCAAGGCCACAGAGGCCGCTCCGCCATGGCCCCCTGAACTGTCTGCTCCGCCATGGCTCCCCGAGCTACATGCTCCAACATGGCTCCCTGGTCTGCCTGCTCCACCATGGCCCCCTGAGTTCCCTGCTCCGCCATGGCCCCCTGAGTTCCCTGCTCCAACATGGCACCCTGAACTGCCTGATCCGCCATGGGTCCCGGAACGGGTACCGCTCTGGAGGCCTGCCATCCCGTGTAAGCCTGTCCCCAGAGCGCCCACCCCCCCTCCCCGTTGGATGTTGTGTGGCACATGGACGCGCCTTCGGGGAGGGGGGAGTAATGTCAGTTCTGTGTCTTGTGTTTTGCTCCCCATGTGCTCCCCATGACCCAGTTTCTCCCGTGTTTTTATTGTTCATTGATTTCAGGTGTGTCCCAATTAGTTCCTTGTTATTTAAGCCCTGTGAGTTCTTCGTCCTGTCTCTAACGTCCATCCCTTGTGCTACGTCTGTTTTCCTACCTGTGAGTCTTTATTTGGACAAATAAAGATTGTTTCCCATGATATTCTCCGTCGTCTCCGTGCTCCTTAGTTCCTCACAGTAGCAACTGTGACACTGACACCTTTTCTACATACTACTGTAATATTGCATGATGATTTGGTTATGTAGGGTCTAGTATTAAGTTGCATGACTATTTAATTTAAAACAATATCAGGTGATTTTTTCAGATGCCTAAAGTGAGCATGTTTAAAGTCATTTTGGGGAGTCATTTGGGGAAACAAGTAACCCTCCAAACAAAACATTAAAATTTATTTTAATTCAGAAATGAAAACATGCTCATCATAAACGAGGTGTATTTAAGTCATTGTTTGGCACATTTTTGAATAAATGAATAGATGAGCATCACATCATTGATCCTTTTACTGTTTTGTTACAGTTCCTGTTGTTTTGTAGATTGTACTAGTAGTTTGTGGGAATTTCAGTCTTAAAGTAATGCAGACTCTACCTGTTAGCATACTACCAATTCAGCAATGTTCCTCTTCAGTTACACTCATTTGTCTGTGTAAAGCTCGACAGTCAAAAGGTCCTTCGGTGCACTTGAGGGGCTGAAAGGAATTAATACAAGTGCCTTCGTATAATGGATTATAATTTTCTCTGGAACACATCAGCAATATAGGCAGGAATTTCATTCCATTTAAAAGAAATGGGCTTTCTTACAGTGAGAGCAGGGCCTGTTTTTGAACAATGATTTCCCATCAAATTTCTCTTCTTCACCCGATGAAAGGGAACAAGAGCTCTCATCTTTGCAAAAGGATGCACAAAGAACCACCCAAACCTTTCAAATCCAGTGACTGAGCCCGTGATTACGTGTTATTTTGAAGATTTGTTTGCTACCTAAAGGAGTTTGTGATTAAAAAAGGATAAAATCCCAAGAGGTTTCCTTGATTTTAGACCTTTCTCATGTGAAGCTATTGATAACCATCTGCAAACAAAGCAGCAGGGGCATTTCAATCAGTAGAGCCGTTTCTTACCTGAAGCACAAGCCTGAGAAGATTTGAAAGCAGCAATACTAGAAAGAGACGGGAAGAAATATTTTTAAATTGATATAGTCAGCTTTATTTATAGCTACTGACTGTAGCCTGCAGCTCATTTTCCACATTTTTATAAAGTCGATCTGTGCTGTAAAATAAGCTCTCTGTATACAGGATAAATTCTCTGTATAGTCGTTTGTGTGTTTTGGATCAATCATGTTATGAGGATTTTTTTTTTAATGGAAACCGCAGTGTGCAGTCAAAGTTTAAAGTGCAAATGTGATCTTAGAGAGCCCCCTGCAGGTCACAATATGGCACAGTCGTTTTAAAGCACTGCTGTGGTGCCAGATGTCAGGCTGCGGCAGACTCCTCAGTGCCAGATGTTCTGATGTCTGATTCTCCGCCTTTTGCAGTTGTTTGTTATCGTCCTCAGGTGGAAGACCATTTTCGATCACCATCCTCTCCAGAAGGTTACACTCAAAAGCATTTCTAAACTGTTTATTGAGGTGTAACAATATATAACAGTGCAATACAATAATATTGTAGTTACATCTCTTATATATGAAAAACATTAACAAAAGACAACATAAAAAAGAAAGGAGAAAGAAAAAAATATAACAGGTTATTTCTGATAGTAACAATAAGAGAAGTTGAAAATATAAAACATGTATACAAGGCAATACAACAAATCATGTTTCAAAATGGTTAATTTAAGTAAAACTAAGAAAGGGGGATGGGAGCTTGTTAGAAATTGAATTCAAAGTTTTTCTCTCTTTCTCTCTCTCATCCAGATTACCACCAGTCTTGCGCAACAGGTTACAGAGTCCAGTCTGTGTGAAAGGAACACCACAGCTGGCCTTAGCACTCAGGGTGAGGAGGATGCAAATCATATTTGTTAACAAATACAAAGTCAGGTTTTTCCGTTCTGTAGTGCATGTAGATAGAAAGACATATTTTGTTCAAATCTTCTATTCCTTCAACATTAGCATAATGTGTCTGTAATGTTTGATGGAATAATAGCATCAGGACCCAGGTTTTGCTATGGAAATAGATTTTACTTACTACCCTTCAAAAGTCTGGTGTCAGTAAGATGTTTTAATGTCTTTGAAAGAAGTATCTTATGCCTACCAAGACTGTGTTTATTTTATCAAAAATACAGTAAAACATTTGAAAAAACATAACAGAAACATAATTTGAAATATTATTACAATTTAAATTATTTGTTTTCTATTGTAATATATTTTCAAATGTAATTTATCACATGATCCTTCAGAAATCATTACTGACCCCAAATGTTTTGAACGGTTTATTTAAGATGTGACCCAACATAGTACTCATATGATTCAGCAAACATTGAAGTTTATTAATAATATCATGAATTGCACAAGTCCAACTATATGCTAAATTATTAACTTGAATTAAGGTGCGGTCACATTTGCTGTTGCTTGGTAAAAAAAATTGAGCAAAATCCAGTCATTCCAGTAGTAATCTGCACGAGCATATTTCGCATGAGGGCGGAAAAGTTCATCACACATGTTCAAGTTGCTCACTGACCAGCAGAAAGTTGCTTGGTTTAAAACTGACTTCTGTGTGAGCTGAGCTGTGCTTTATACCTGTACACATCTATTGAATAATACAAATGGTATTGGCTAATGTGACTGAATAGGAAAATTGACAATTTTGTAAATGGACAAGTGAGATTAACTAGCCTAACAAATTGATTCATATTTAAACTGTAAGAATATTCCACAATATTACTGTATTTTTGAAACATTAAATGCATCTTTTGTGAGCATACTGTAAGAGGCTTCTTTCAAAACATTACAAATCTGGCAGACTTCAAACTTTAGAATGGTAGTGTTGTTGCATTCAGACATAACACTCATTTAACAAATTCAACAGCCTTCAGTCATTATAGGTATATGACAATAATATAGTCTTTGTTCCCATAGCCTCTGTTGATAGTGCTTCCCTTATGGTGTCTGAGACTGCAGACATCCCTGATCACAGCTGTTCCTCTGAAGACCTGTGTTCTCTAGAAGTGCAAGGCTCTGATTCCTCTCCATATGGCACTTTACACATCGTGCCTACTGATGGTAGCTGCACAAGTCTGGATCACTGTCTGAGGCGGCAGACCCCTGCTCGACTGGACCACAGCGAGTCCTCTGTCACGCAGGATTCCAAGCCCCACTCTCCCCAGCTGTCACCCGATGCTGTTAACGTGCCTGAGAAGGAGGAGATTACAGGCGTTAAACCCACGTCTCGCACGCAGCACAGAGAACGAACCAATAAGAAGCTTACCCTTCTTTTCCCTCCAAGCACACCATCCCAATGTGCTTCCAACTCAGCAGTGACCTCCACTGCCGCCACAGCTTCTGCTCTGACCCCCTCCGCTTGCACCTCTCCGTCACCCACCGCTCAACTGCGGGGAACCCGGCTATGCTTCAGCGTCTGGTCCCCATCCTCCTCTTCCTCACAGCCCCATGCTACCTCTGCCCTTAGCAACCCCAGTCAACGTGAGCGGCCCCGCACACTCCGTGCCACTAAAGGGTATTGGAAGCTGGCGAGGATTGTGCGTTCCACTAGTGAACCCATATCCTGTAATTCCATATCTAGAAGTACGCGAGTCTTTTTTCTCTCTGTGGCGCTATAGTTTTTTTTTTTTTACTTCATTCATTCTAAACCCTAGGTTAACAGAATCCTAGCTTAGCTTTTTCTATGTTTCAAACTGTACATTTGTAAACTCCAAGTTAATGCTCTTATTTGCCGGGGCAGTATTATTGATCGGACGAATGCAACACACACACACCTGTGTGAATGGCGGCTTGTCTTACTCTTGCACATCAGTTGGGCTTGTATGGATTTATTAAATTGATCAAAAGTGACAGGAAAGACATTTATATTATAAATGATTTCAAATAAATGCTGATCTTTTGAACTTTTCTGAACTATTCTTTAAAGGATCTTGAAAAAAGTTTCCACAAGAATATTAAACAGCGGAACTGTTTTCAAGATTTATAATAATTAGAAATGTTTCTATATTTTAAAATTATTTCTGAAGGATCATGTGATACTGAAGACTGAAGTAATAACTGCTAAAAAAAATCAGCTTTGCCATCACAGAAATAAAAGTAGTTATTTTTTTTTTATTACAATATTTCACAATATTACTGTTTTTACTCCGTGTACTCCTGACTGTATTTGACCTATGTAGACTTTTTGGACCATAATGGTACTTATGATTTGCTGAAACCATAAATACACAAATGCTAAAACAAAATGCAACACCCAAAAGTTTCTGTGACTGAATAAGTGCATAAATATTTAATGAGGCAAGTGCTATTCAGTTTATTATTGGTTGGACTGGCCATTACATTCTAACACTATATAATTTCACACGGTACACCTTTTGCAATGCAGGCTTAATGCTACAAAAGTAGGACTGAAGCTTCTTCAGTTCATGGTTTCATAACTCTTTGCAAACTCAAAACTACTAGTGTTTTTATTTTTTTAAATTTTGTTTTAATTACATTTTTTTGTTTAAAAATACAATAAACCAGATTAAGCTCATTATGAAAGCCACATACATCATGTAACTTGTTGAGTTTATATAATATTTGCTTTGTTGTAGGTAGAGGAAAAATATGATCTTTGCAAAGCAGTCTCATATTAAATCCTTAATAACCCATAAGCAATCTTGACTTGACTTGCAGGTGAGCGTTGTGTTCCTGCTTCTAACCATCCACCCGAGGACTCCCCACAGACTCCCTGTGATCAAGGTTGCACCTCTTTTCTGTTTTCCATGTAACATAGTTATTCATCTCAAGTAAAATTATGGTTATTAGAATAAACATACTAATGCATAGCTTTTAACAGCATGTATAGAGCTCTCTGAGAGCGCCCGACACCCTTCTGCCAAACAAAGCAGCCAAGGGGGCAAGAAGCAGAAGGACGGTGGAAAGGTGGACATCCAACTCAAACCTCACATCCCTCACTCAATGTCTACAGAACGGCCGCAGTCTCTCGCAGACCTCAAAACTTACAAAGACACCAAAGTCCTGGTGGCCAAGTTCCTGGAGCACTCGAGCTGCAGTCTACCTCCGGAGGTCCAGCAGGTGGTCAACAGCATTAAATGTGTTATTAAATCTGATGAGAAACACATGGAGGAGGCCATTTTCAGTGCCAGTATCATTGATCAGGTGAATTTGGTATATTTTTGTGTATAAAACATAGTATTCACCCTATGATCTGAAATTAATACATTTACACAGTTTCACTTATGCTTAGTTGAAAGTGAAAAATCACAACTGAATTACATTGGGGATGTTTGTTTTTCTCATATTCTTCACATAGTTGATGACACAGTCACAGAAGACCATGGGCAGCCAGAGGAAGCATGCTCACGAAGACCTGCATTTACAGAGCTGTGGGGCTTTGAGTTCCCCATCTTCATCCTTGCGCCGTCCACCCAGAGGATCCAGTCAGACAGATGCCCCTGCTCCCCTGGATCATCAGCCTCAAAGCCTCATCAGTGTATGCAGAGAAACTACACTTTGACCCTCCAGACTACAAACACCCTTTTCCTCATAATCCTCTGAATATGTGCCAAGGCCAAGTCCTCATCAGCAGAAAACTGTAGCTCTTGAAAAACAAACAAACAAAAAAAACTGAGTTAACATGGAGTCGATGCTCTCTCTCATATGTTAAAAAAGATACTCAAAAAAAATCAATAAAGAAACAACAGTGTTTACCTTCAGGGGTATATATTTTTATTTTATTGTCAGAAAAAAAGGTCAAATATTTGTTAAAGTGCTGAATTTGCTACTGTGCTAAATAGGTGATTGGGTCTGTAATGGACCATAGAAGGTGACAACATGGATTTACCTCGTCATGAAACCTTTTTTTTTTTTTAAATACACAGCTTCTGCAAACATTATGTGAACTATTGGACATGCTTGGTCATTGTGTGCCCTTGCAGGACAGAGACCTTTATGAAGTTGGATTATTCAACTTACCTCAGTGTGTAATTATTTTCTGTGTTGCAAAATAAAAATGTGTCTGTTTGTATTTTTTGTTATAGATTACTATTTTAAGACACTCAGGTCATTGTTTGTTTGAGTGAGTTACATACTACTCTAACAGGGTCTTGAGTGTTTGTGTGTGCTTAGAATTTTTGTAACGGGCCCCAAACAAAGAGCAGGTTTATTTCAGGTTTATCTTGCTTCAGTGAAAATCCTTGCTCAGCAGCATTTGCTCTGCTCAGAATCTTTGTGGCTCTTATTTGTTACACTTACTTGTTTAATTTGCAAGTGCAACTACTTAAATCATCTGTAGATAGGCATTTACTGTGGCTCTTACGCTTTATAGCCTCAACTAGCTGATATATTCATATCAACCTCAGGCATTAAATAAATGTATTTATTTTATATTTTTAAAAAATTATCTACAGAAAAACGACATAATGAGCAACATCCCGGAATAGGTAGGGCAAATGCAACATTCTGGCTAATGAGAACGTTAAACTCTTGTGCCATATACCCCACCTTCTCTTATTATTTGAGCGTCCAATTAAAATTGAGCGACAGAAGCAGTTACGCCCACAGCCAATCAGATACGTCTAAAGTGTACGGTCGTATTCACGGATTGGTTGTTGTAGCTGTCAATTACGATCCTCTATACACCTTACAGAGGATCCGGACGACGTTTTTGACTTTTCTTTTGTTTTGTTTTTTACAGCCTATGTTTTTATCGACTCGAGACGTCCAACCTGGCAGTTAGGTATACAACAAGATAAGGACACGATTTCGGAATATGATCTTTTGCTGACGCGTTTACTTATGTGCGTAAGTACAAATACACGGTGTTTGCGCATGCATTCTGCAGGACCGAGAACAGAGGAGGAAGGCTGGAGTTGAGTTACAGTATTAGCGAACTCTAAAGCTAGCGGTGTATGAATAGTCTACCCCGCATGGAATTGCATTCAGAGACGCGTTAAACGCATCGTTTCGGTTTGTTTATTCTGTGCTGTTTTAAATCAGGTGCATATTGGTGTGCATGTGCACAACAATATGCACTGTAAAGCTGGCCTTGCTGGCGGTGTTAGGTGTAACGCTAACGGCCTAATAGCCTATTAGTGCATTGTTGCTAATAGTAATAGTTTTACAACTCAATTTCGAGTTGGTTTGTGTGTTTGTCATTGTGTGTTTAGGAGAAATCGGTATCGCGTTGTTGAACTGAAGCTAACGCGCGGCTGTTACTCCACGCATGCTACTTTAGCGAGGTTATAGCTAACATAGCCTACAGCCGAACCGTGCATTCAGAAGTGTATTTATCACACGAGCATGACGGCAGAGATGACCGTAACCGAATAAAATGCGTTACTAAGTGCTGTAGGATCAGGCGGAGAACGGAAAGCTCATGGCTGTGCGCCGTTAGCTCGCTTCAGCTCTCGTAGGCCACGTCGCCTGTGTGTTTGATCTACTGACAGTGGCGTTGCATGAATGCAAACAGGGTAAAGCTTGAAGTCGCCAACTGTGCGGAAGGGATACGGAGGAACCGTCAAAGTAGTTGTGTCACCCACTTCAGGACACTTCAAGGTTGCTGTAAGCCGAATGGGGAAGAACAGAAATCTTTCAAGATAGATAACTTAGCAGAGCAGTGGCCTCATCAGTAGTTTCTTGTTTTTACGTGCGGCGCTCACACAAAGCCAGAGTTCGTAATCTGTGCGCCTCTTCGATTACGCGATGATCGGCTTCGGCGCGAATCGACGTGGAGGTCGCCTCCCGTCCTTCATCCTGATTGTGTTATTGGTGATTATCGTCATTTTGTCGTTTAACTACTGGAGCGTGTCCACTAAGCACGGGCGGCTGCTGGACGAGCTGGCCGAGATGCAGACGCAGGTGAAGCGCACGGACGCGGCGCGCTCGCGCCTGGAGAAGAGAAACTCCGAGCTGATGATGCAGGTGGACACGTACCGGAAACAGATCGACCAGAAGGACGGAGACTACAGCGTGCTGGAGAGCAAGCTGCAGGCCAAGGATGCGCTGGTCAAAGCCTGCACCGATGAGGAGGTGGGTGAGGGAAAAGGAACACGAGGGTTTCCTTTATAAATACATACACATCACTACTGTGCTGTATGAAGTGAACATGCATTATAGATTTACCTTCTGTCTGTGTTTCCAGCCACTGTCATGCCTTACATCTTTGCAAATTATTGTTTTGCTTGAGTAACGTTACTTTCTGACCGAACTGATCAGGGGTTTTCAAAAGTTACAGACCTCCCACCCAGACTCTCAGCCAACATGGGACCTTCAGTATGAAAGGCTAGATTTTCTCAGTAACACTTAATTACTTTAATTGACAGCTTTCATTATCATCGCATTTTATCATAGTGAAAGACCCATTTGTCATCCAGACCAATAAACTGGCTGATATTTGGCCATTTTCAAGGTTTTTGGCATCTTTTTCAAATCCAGTTAACTAGGGTGACCATACGTGCCATTTTCCCAGGACGCGTCCTGGCCAGGATTTCTATATTGCCTAAAATATCTAGGTTTTGGCTTTGTTTGCGTGTGCAGACCGATCGGTGTATGACATCAAAGTACCATACAGACGGTTATGCTTTCGAAACGCTCTCGAGGTACTTTGATGTCAAACACTGATCGGTCTGAGCCGCACTGCTTTTAAGTCGAACACACCTAATATGTACGCGTAATTGCATCGCTTTGACCGTAGATCGTAGAACCAACCTCATTCAGGACGGTGACGAGTCTGCTTACAGACAGGTCGAGCAGCTGGCGTCTACACCTGAAATTTGCACATAATATACAGTACCTGTACATACAAAAACTGTCTATTGTAATATACCTGCACATACAATTGTCGATTTATATATTTTTATTCCTTTATTTACTTGTTCTATTTTTTATTTTTTATTATCTGTGTTTTTTGTTCTGTCACTGTCATTTTGTTACACTGTGGAAGCTTCTGTCACGAAAACAAATTCCTCGTATGTGTAAACATACCTGGCAATAAAGCTCATTCTGATTCTGATTCTGATTCTTACACGCCATGATTGGTCCATTATGTACAATGCTTGCATGTTATTGGTCAAACTACTTTTCGATCATTACCTTCAGCATGCATGAAAACAGGAAAACAAAGCCAAAACAAATCCTGGCCAGGACACGTCCTGGGAAAATGGCACGTATTGTCACCCTAAGTTAACCAATGGATAATGCACTGTTTTTCACATATTTTTGTGAATTGAATGAATATTGCATAAACATGTTTGTTTAGCAAATGCTCAAATTGTTAGAACCATTAGTTGAGAATGTGTCATTATGCTGAGCTGACCATCGGCCACTGTTAAATATAATTCTTCGCAGAGTTGTAGATATTATGCAAATATGAGGGCGTTCTATGTTTATCTTCAATATGGATAGATGGTTAAAATAATGACTCCAGGTGGCATTATCTAAAACAATGCCTAACCATGGCTGCGGTTCCCAAAATTATCGTAAGCCTATGTTGATCGTAGAACCAATTGTCTCCAATAGAGCTACGATCAATTTAGGATTACGGTGCTTTTGGGGAAACGCAGCCCTTGGCAGTCTCTCTATTATGATCAGTGCACATCCTGTAAGTCTGTTTGTTTAGCCCTTTGGTCATTTGGAGAACGTTTAATTGTTACTGGTTTTGCTTAGTTAATGCAAACAAAGTTGTGTAGGTGATTGTCTTGTCTAATAGTGCCTTGTTTCAGGAAACATTCAGTTTTTCCGGAAGTATAGTATATATATGTTTCACTGACCAGGTTTTTTTCATACACAGTTCATTTAAAAGCAGATTACATACTTACTTTCTCTAAAGAAGCAGGCAGTTTGCTGATATTCACTGTTCCCTTTGTGCCTGTTCTACTAGTTGTGCCTGCAGAAGATAAGGCAGTTTTCCTTTTGTGTGACGTGTTCAGTCAGCAGGTTGCGTGATAGACAGCAGCACTGACTTTTGCTGTGCTGCTTTACTTTCAGTGAAACAGGAATATATACAGGCTTCCCATGAAAATTCTGTCCACAAACTATATATAAAATGTAAAAATATGGGTGTTCACCTTTAAGATGTTTGTGATAAGTTGCTCTTTTTGAGTAAAAAATGAGTATCTTGATATACTGTATATCCCCGCACCATTAACATCAGTACACTAAAAATGTGAGCTGACAGGACAGAGAGCATCCTGCCACGCTGCTCTTTATGGATTCAAGCCGTGGGCTTCCCTGTGGTTGTGTGACACAGCTGAGAGCTCATGGTCAGGGCCCATCTGTGTGCCCAGGGCTGTGAGAGCCCCCCTCCACGCTCCTTCACGTCTCCAGGTCTTCCTACACTGCCCTCTGTCTCTCTCTTTGTTCTTGATATTATATCAACATAATTGTTGGGAATGTGTTGTTACTAAGGCTAAAAAGCAGTCATGATTGCTTATTTTGTTAATAACATTTAGGAGGAATTTAATAACATTTAGGAGAAATATGTATTTTGAAAGTAATTTAAATGACATTCATTCCATTTATTGCTCTATAGCACTCCTGTTTCCTCTCCATTGTCATTTTCAACCTATGATTTACAGTAAATGGATCAATTGCC